TTTGTGCGCGCTAATCTCAGAAACGGCTTAACCGATTTGGATGCGGTTTTCACTAATATATGTGGTAAGCTTTACTTAACATTTAGTTTTTGTTTTATTTTCATGGGTTCATAAATAAAAAAGTTACATCAATTTAAAGAATAACCAGGGACGAACCCGAGCGGAGCGAGGGTGAGTCGCTAGTTGCAAATAAATATAGTAAAGGTAAATAAACAAATCGGGTTAGAAATTTTACCTGTTTCATAAAGCCTTAACGAATTTAACCAAAGATATTGTATATAATTTCAATCATAATTACGAGTACACTGATTAATTAATATTAAATTACATCATTAATATCTCTCCAGACTATCAACTAAGATATTTACTAAGGTTAAATTATTATGATTATAATATTATAATCAATACTAATATTATAAAGAGGCAGAGTTTGTTTGTTTGTTTGAACACGCTAATCTCAGGAACTACTAATCCGATTTGAAAAATTCTTTTTTGATTAGATTATAGATTTTTTTATTTTTGAAATATCAAATATTCGCGTAAATTTAAGAAAACATTATTGAATAATGTAAATAGTAATGTAATAATAATATCCTCATGACCAATTTTGGCCACGGCGGCCAATCTCACTGATATTCCGAGAGCTGGCGACTGGCGTTTCGAGTATGGTTCGGGTTCTGCGTTCACAACAGAGTATTTTAGAGTAGTTTATTAGGGTTCCATACCCAAAATGTAAAACGGAACCCTATTACTCCTCTGTCCGTCCGTCTGTCTGTCCGTCTGTCACCAGGCTTTATTTCATGAACCGTGATAGTTGGACAGTTGAAATTTTCACAGATGATGTATTTCTGTAGCCGCTATAACAACAAATACTAAAAAAACTGAATAAAATAAATATTTAAGGGGGCTCGGCCTATGACATTAGCCATCTGCACAGGAGATATCATTATATAATGTACTCAGTATTCCTGTCAACTCCGATGTGACGACAATTCGACACGACCAGTGAGAGATCAGGCGATTTACCTCGCACGTGCAAGATGTGGAATGATCTTCCTCCCGAGGTATTCCCTGAGCGCTATAATATGGGGCTCTTCAAGAGTAATGTCTATAGGTCCCTTAAAGGCCGGCAACGCATTCGCAACTTCTCTTGTGTTGCAGATGTCCATGAGCGACGATAGCCACTTACCATCAGGTGGATCGTTTGCTCGTTTGCCCCTTTTTTCTATAAAAAAAAGGCGCAGGACCGACATCTTTACATACTCTCTGAGGCACAATTTTCTAACTCCGGGCATATTATTGAGTATTTCTGAACAGAAAATCTCTAACATAACTTGCACGACCCGGGACTGAAACCAGCACTTCCGGATCTACAGCTGTACATGCTAGCCACTAGACTACCGAGCACTATTGTAATCAGGAGGAGTCACCAGATGTAAATACCAATAGAATTACATTGAAAATCACGGTCAAAAGGAAATTGTCAGTTAATTATTTTAACTTTTCCCCTCAAAAACGGTCAACAAGCATGTACTAGTAGTAGTTTTGTAACAAAATAATTAATGTTTACGCTTAGTTTAGTTCACGACAAATGGCGTCCGTTTAGAATTATTTTATATGTAGCTTGTTAGGTTAAAAGTGTAGATCAGGTGTATTGTAAATCTTACAAATATTATAAATATGAAAAAGATGGATGTTTGGATGTTACTCAATTACGCCAGAACGGCTGAACGGATCTGGATGAAATTTGGTACAGAGATAGAGTATAGTCTGGAATAGCACTCAGATTACTATTTATCCCGGAAAAATGTACGGCTTCCGTGGGATAGGTTTGTTTTGTTTTTCTAGAGGCGAACCCAAACGAATCTAAGATGCTAGTGTTAAAATAATAAAAGTAAAAATTTAATAATAATTAAAAGTTAAAACATTGAAATAATTTAATTTACTATAATATCCACATATTTATTGGTCACAACGTGAAACTCATTTCATATAGTAGGACAGATTTTTGGAAGGAGGTCAATTCTACATAACACTAGCCAATTCATAAAAAAAAAGTTTTGTTCGTTACCTTTTCACGTTTAAAAGCCTCTGAACAGAATTCGACAAAATACATACATCATTGATAAGTTAAAAACTTTTTTTTTCGTTCGTGTTATTAATCTCATAATCATAGGTTAGCAGTTAGCTCCGTGTGCGAGTATATGGATAAAAATTGAAAATTCATTTTGAAAATTTAAAAAAATATATTTGAAAATGGTATCTTTTACTTTATCTTCGGACATCTCTATTTAGTTGTTTAATTGTTGATACTAACTTTAATTTAGAACTAGCGACTCACCCTCGCTCCGCTCGAGCTAGTTTAGCTTTCTCAGAGATGAGATGTAAAAAGTATCTACCAAATTTCATCAAAATCTGTTTAGTAGTTTTCTCGTAATGCGTTCGAGACAGACGAAAATTCTAAAAATTAAACATTCGCCGATAATAATGTCTTGTCTATCAATAAGATTTTCCAAAAAATATTTAATGTACAGATTCAACTCAGTTAGAATTTTATTATATGTACAGATAGCAGAAAATATCAGAAAAATTAATGTATATAATATATAGCCATATATACATTTAGAACTCTCTAACGCGGGTTTGATATTTTAAAGACTGCGGGTTTTCTGGACATCTCTAAAGTGAAGCTACACAAATTCAGTTTTTCTTTCTAATATGATATCTTCTTCAGTAAAACTCCAACATTTTTGTGTTCTTTTTATTACATTTCCCATTTTATACTTTCAATTTTAAAAGCTTTTATATTATAATATGGAAGATAGCACTAATAAAACTTCGAGATCTTCCACTCATAGAATATAGAAACCAAATGTAATAATTTATCAAGCTTATATTTTATGTTACAGATTACTTTATATTACTTTTCACTTATGCTCGATATGTTTCAAAAACTATAAGAATGATGTTTTTCCAATAACAAATAAAAAAGTTTTTTAAACAATATTTTATAGTAAACTAGGAAATCAAAAACCAACCTATTCAACGGGAATCTTACTTTTTCCGGGATAAAAAGAAGCCTATGTGTTATTCCAGACTATAATCTATCTCTGCCAAATTTCATCCAGATCCGTTTAGCCGTTCTGGCGTGAAAGAGTAACAAACATCCATGCTCACAAACTTTCACATTTATAATATTAATAATAAGGACTAACGACTCACCCTTGCTTCGCTCGGGTGCATCCCTAAGCTTCAATGGTTTACGAACGAAAAGACAAACATAAAAAATATATTTTTTTTGCGCAAGGAACCTTCGCAGGCTTATACGGGATATCCCAAGAATGGGATGAATGGGTTACGAGCGCATGCAGAACAAACATTCAAACATTCATTTTTATTTATAAGATGGAAAATCGTGATAATTAAATCTAAAGATCATATAAATGGATCGAATACATAGTTAAGTAACTTAAAATTTCTACACGTACTTAATTATTATAAGCGGGTCATGTTCATTGGTACCTCTCGTTAATTACATTTTCTGGACATTTCTTGTTTTACAAGCTTTTATTTAACTTGCAATGTTTGCTAGTTAGTATGTTTGTATAGGTTAAACCTTACAGGCTGAATTAAAACCATTTGCTCTTATACTACAGAGTTGAAATTTTACTTGTTGACTCAGTTCCAATGACAATATTTTTTAAGATAATTATGATTTCATTTGTAATTTTGTAAATTTGTAAATTTTGTAGTTTGTAAATTTTGTCCACCTTTTTCACTTCTTTAGGAATTGAATTCCAAAGAATTTTTCGCTTTCTACATCATTTTCCTCAAAGGTAAAAATTTCTATGTTGATGATAGAAACATTTTTTTTATTATAAAAACTTATAATTAAAGTATACAAATATCAGGCAGCAGCTTCAATCGTATAAAGACTAGTAATAAACGTTCATTTTTCTTTTCTTTAATCAATTGCGCTGTAAAATTGCCGAGTCGAAAGGCATCTTGCAGGATGAACCATTTGTAAAACTGTAATATAATTTTTTTAATTTATTTTACTAACCTTACGTTATACAATTATTACATTATTTTGTAAGAAAATGCGAGTTGTATACGAATAAGGTAAATAAAATGGGATGTAAATAATTTTAAAATATATAATTATTATCGAAATATATTTATCGAGTTTAAGATTTTCCTTATATATAGTTTACCGAATAATAAATACTTTGTCACACTTGATATTGTGCCAGCCGACAATACTTTAAGATATGAATATCTAATAGGTAAATATGTATTTTACGTATGGAAATACATTATTATATTAGATTTGCTTTGCATCGGCTAGCACCGACTTCGAAAATATCTGGTTAGGTATCTATTCTAAATGAAAACCCCCGTTTAGTTATTTTTTACATTTTAGTGCCTGCAAGTCGGTTTTTAATATATTTTTTTGAAAGTTTTTATTAAACCTTACAATAGTAGGCAACATAATACTCTCAAGAGAATACTAGAAATGTAAGAAAATAATATCTCTAAATATTATGTTACATAAACAGAATAATATGTCATTCCCATATACATATATTTTTTATTTGATACAAGTGATATCGGTTTCACAAAATCAACTTGTCTAAAAAGGTACTCTAACTCATGTACTACTTAGCAAGAATTTTTTTAACACCCGACGCAAAAAGTTATAAGTTTGACGTCGATGTCTGTCTGTATGTGTGTGTGTGTGTGTCTGTGGCATCGTAGCTCTCAAACGATTGGACCGATTTCGATGCGGTGTTTTTCATTTGAAAGCCAGTTTCCTTGCGGTGGTTCTTAGCTATGTTTGGTTAATATCGGTCCAGCAGTGTAAGAGTATCAGCTCTTTTCCAAAGTGATATAAGGCATTTTGACGTATAATTACTCGATTAAGTGTTTCACGCGTGCCAGTGTAATCGTTAAATGACAATTAACTTGCGTAGGGGTTTTTTTAAATATTTAATTTATTAATATGGAGTAAACTCACTTAAATTATTCTTACAAATAGCACGTCTTGCGTGGCATAAGTTTACAAAAAATTGATATCCTCTTTTGTATCGGCTGAACATCATACAAACTGGCTGGTAGTCATCATCAGGTAGATCCTGACATACATTAGCACATGCGACCTCGTCTCGCCCTTGGACTAAGCGGTCGCGACCAAAACCGTAGCCACCTGCTACCATCTGTTTACATTATGACATGAGTATCTCGTTGGTCTAGTGGCTAGCATGTCTATAGATGCGGTGGTCCTGGGTTATAGTCCCGGATCGGGCAAAGTTAACTTATTGAGTTTTTCTGTCAAGAAGTTCTCAGTAACAGCCCAGAAAGGCGTGGTGAGTTTGCGGTGCTTTACCCCTATGCCTTAGAGAGCAAAGTCGTTGGCCCTGCCCCTGATCTCTTACCGGTCGTGTTTTTGTCGTATCTGATTTGTTTTCTCACCGTAGTATGAGACTGACAGAAAAGACAGTGCTTACGTATGTATGTATGTACGTGCACTATACCTAATATCTCCTGCGTACATGGCTAGTCTTATTGAGACTTGCCGTTGTGGCGTAAATCAATCTAGGACTTTATTTAAATTATGCTAAATTAAATACTGACTGCTTTATTGGTTTTGACTAACATGTACGGCTACTGATCTGGATGTCCTGGATTCGAGTCCAAGCTGGATATTTGGCGGTGTTACATCCATGGGGATGTATCACAGAAATCTTAATAATAAGCTATTAAGATTTCTGTGGGATGTATCAAATGCATGGTATTGGTATCGGTCCATACCATGCATCTGATATCTGATTTATCCCCATTTTTTTACCATTTCTTTATAATTTTTGTGTTTTCCTTTTTATCTCTATATTATAATGTAAAATGTTAAACGTATTACTTTTATCAAAATTCGGTTTTTTTTTTTGTAATATATCTCAGTTCATATTGTAGCTAATCAATTACTAAATATTTTATAAGCGCATGTTTATTTTTGTTTTCTAAGATATTATCATAAATCGGAATTAAAACAAAAATTGAATTTTAATAACATTGATTTTCATTCATAAAAGTTTTAGCTAGAACACTAGAAAAAAATATTTTAAAGTAAATACGTACTTACCGAAATAAAATACATAAAAATTACACATCGGAATCTGAAAGTTTATAACAATTAATAACATTATTGAAAGTGAGATTAATATGAATACAATATGAAGTTAAATTTTTATAATATTATCTTCAAAAATAACAAACTTACATACTAATTTTCAACACGATCAGAATAGGAATTTTCAATTTCATGCTTCTACACCCAGTTGATTAGGCTGTGCTTTATCTATAAGTATGTAGAAAATATTCACATTTTCCTAGTAGTTTGCTTAAATTTACAAACGAACCTAATTTTATTATTATCGATCACCAAACTGCAAAAGTGTACGCAAAGGCAAAAAGCAAAATCATATTGTGTATGAATAAAAACTTAGAAAAACCGACTTACTGGCCCCCGTTTAGTTATTTTTTACATTTTAGTGAATCGAAGTCGGTTTTTATGTTTTTTTTTTAAGTTTTTATTTTTCCATTTTTAGTGTAGACGTAATAAGCAGGTAATTTGTAAGAAGAAAGTTTTTAATAACATACTCGATTAAGTAACTTATTTAAAAAATAAAACAATTTATTCGTTGATTTTTTTAAAAACCGCTCGACCGATTTCGTTACAATTTAAATGGAACCGCCTGAGAAATATACACTTCGAAACAAAAAAATCCAAATCGGTTCAGGCGTCTTTGGGTAATCAGTGAATATACATAAAAAAAAGATTCCGACGAAATGAGAACCTCCTCCTTTTTGGAAGTCGGTTAAAAAGCTTATACCATTCAGACCATATTAGGCACATTTAAAATACGTATATAATAAAATTCTGAGTTTAGTGAGTTAGCTTGTTTTTGGGTCAACATATAGGATACTTTTACTGCAAGAAAACTATATTAATTACTAACCGTTAAAATGTAACTAGGGACGACCCCGAGCGGAGTGAGGGTGAGTCGCTAGTTGATATCTAAGTATTTATCAAATAATCATATAGAAAGTTAAGTACAACCCCTGAATCCAGTAGAATTTTTTGACGTACGATGTGAAGAAGCACTTGTAGAATTTAAAGAAAAAATATTCAAACCTTTGCATTTAAAACATTTTTAAATTTCCCTATAAATAAATAAAAACTAGTAACCAAAACTAATGCAAGTAATAAAAACAGCCTCGTGCATTAAAATCAGTTGGTACATGGATATAAATTTTCATACTTAAAAACAACATATTCAGAAATTTAAGCAGCACAAAAAACATTTACATAAAACACAGCTACAGTACCTACATATATTTTTATTAAGGCTTTGATCATAAATTTTTGGGATGGCATTTATATACTGTTTTAAAATATGTATATTTATGTATGTAATAAAGGATCAGTAATAAACAATAAATAAGTATAGGTAATATTAAATGCTATCAAAAAATAGTTCAAATCTATACATATAATACAAGTGTAACTGATTGCTGTCTTTAAAATTAAATAATTGAATTGATAATAATATATAATTCTTCATCTATCTGTTACTTTACAACGACTTTCTTTTTTTCTGAAGTAAAAAGGATTTACCACTTCCCCCAGAACTAAAGATACATTTTATTCTCATACATCTATTGTGGTACATTTTAAATATTATACCAATTGTTTCCAAGAGTATTTCAGCTGCCCAGCACAGAATCTCAGATATTAAAAAGTTTGTTTTGGAACAATTTTAACTAAAAAGCTTTAAACTCAAATGTCTGAAAAGTTAAATTATCTAACCAATACAACATGTTAATTGAGTTTATGTAATCTAAGTAGTGAGATAGTGTTTTTAATAGTTATTCGAACAAGTATACACTCTATTTTATTTGAAAATGCGCTTCAGTTTAATATAAAATTTATCAATATTCTTCTGTCAGCAAAATAAAAAGCTTTGTAAATTGCTTTTTATTTTTTATATTTTACTAGTGACTTGTCCTGGCACCGTTCAAGTATAATATATGGCATCTTTCAAGTATATATAGCACAGATATACATATATGTAATATTAAAAAAATATAATCCACAATTATTCGCTTAAGCACAAGTTCACTCTCCGTTTAAACTCTAATGGGACGAATAGACGTGGTTAGAGATCAGGTGCAGAACTGACGACTTAACGTATTCTCCGAGGCACTTAGGTGTTACGTATGACGAGTGAGAGTGTATATTTGTTATTCCGTTACTCTGTGTCTCCTGGATTGGGTATTTAGTACACAAATACACTACGATATTTTGTAACCTTGGTATTTACCATGTATTTACATTAAGGTGGTTATGTGGGAGTCATCGGCAACCATCGGAAAAACTAGTATCATCCACTAAAACCAAACGGAAACAAACCCTTCACCATCTTAATGGGGCCTCGCAGGATCACTTACGCTTACGATACCCTATCGGCTGGCCTACGATAGAAGAAAACTATAACATTCAACGACCAATAATTCCAACAACCTTGAAAGCAACTGCTCCCAAAGTCCACTCTTCAATCAGAGAACTACCAGGAGTAGTCCACTCTACACTAGTGCAGCACCCACTGAGGTGTGCTGACTCAAAGTGCGTTTCTTGGCTTAACGCCCGGCTGGATTGCTAGACACCACCATAATCTAAAGACACCTCGGGGGAACAGATTCACTTTGACCTGAAGCTATACATAAACTTCTAAGGAAAATTAGCCGAAACGTCGCACTACGTAGATAATAAATGTGCAATATAATAAATACATACACACAGTATTCCGTATCGTTTAATAATGCTTATGTTTCTTTTAAAATTGATCCAGCATTATGAAAACGGTAACAACAATAGAACACGATTGGTAAAGCACCCCAATTTAACAAGTGTCGAAACCCGAATGTAAGAAAACACCGATTCGTATAACGCCATTTAGAAGGTAACATTTTATTGAGTGAGGATTTTGAAAAGAACCTTTTATCTTTTATTGACCAACTGTATAAAGGAAAAGGTACTCGATACGTGTATATGACATGATATCTTTGCGAATTGTGAACCGATTTACACGTTTCTTTTGGAATCTATTATTTTGAACACAATCATAGTTGATTATTATTGAGGTTATTATTATATTACCTGTATATTAAATGCAAAAAAGATCTATACATATAATAAAATTCTAACATATGATACAGAGGCCGAATCACATAAAACCACTGGAAGGATTTTGATCAAATTTGGTATGGTGGTAGCTGGTTATCCGGGTCAACATATAGGATACCTTTTACTGCGAGAAAATATCTCATTCTCACAAAAAAATGCAAAAACTGCAATTTAAGAGTATATATGTACTAATCTGTAAGACTTAAAGAATTTGTTTTTTGGTTATCTAAACGCGAGCGAACAATGCTAGTTATGTATACATATAAAAGGGAGAAATCACTCATTCTCTAACTGACAAAACACAAAATCTCGGAAACGACTTGAACTATGCAACTGAAAGGCAAGAGACTGACATCTAAGCTTTAATTGTCCTTTTACTTTCTGATGTGCCAAGAATAATATTTGTAATTATATTGTAAAAATATTACTTGTGATATGCCTAATCTATTTCTAAGAGAGTTATTAGTTTTAGTATATTAGTTATTCAAAAGAGTTATGAAAATTCATTCACAATTGGCCAAAATAAACAAACGAATTGAGTTTTCGTTTTTAAAAACAGTCTAAAAGCTATTTAAATATTTAAAGTTAACATTAATCTTGAAAACAAAATCGCACAATAAAATATCCATCAATTATTTAAATCTAGATTATTTAAATCTAGCTAGATTAATTACTTACATATTTGTCTCATAGATATTAATTAACTTTATCAGTTACCTACATTCGCACATTTCGCTTTGTTAATAAGGCACATAACAAGTATTATAACTTTGAATTTCCACGATTATTTCCACAAGTCTGCACGATACCAAGTAACGGTATTATTGTGTACATACAGACTGCTAAATCATTATCTAAATGATAAATTTTTCACTTGTAACTTGTCCCGATTTTATCCATTTTATATGGAATTTACTCGTATGTTTTTCTTGTTTGTATAATGTTTATGATATCATAATATATTCAACAATT